CAATAGAAAACAAATATACATTTTAACAAGTGTAACAGAATGTCTACAGCAGCACTTTTCTAGGAATAAGAAACCTGAAAGACACTAAAGCTCAGCCAGTAGCAAATGGATAACTTGTGGTAAATTCATACAATGAAATTAAATTAAATTAAATGAACTAAGGTAACTTGTCAAGTGTAATGTTGGGAAAAATAGGCAATTTGTAGAAGAGTACATATATACAGTACAATTAAATTTATTTAATGTTCAAAAACATTAAAAACTTAACAATATCTTATTTATATAAAGAGGAAAGAGAGATGTGGGAACCAGGAGGGCACATAGGATATGTCAAAGTTTTAGGTAATGTTCTGCTTTTTTGTTGTTGTTGATTTTTAAGTTGATGATAGATATATGGGTATTCATTTTAAATTATTACTTATATAATATGCAATGTTATCTATACATATTCCTTGAATAAATAAAATGCTTTTAAAAAACTTTAAACCTAAATCTTTCTGGATTTTATATATGTATAAATGTATTATTATGTTCTGACAAATATAATTAAAATATATATAGAAAAAACCCCCACAAGAATCAAATTTGTGATCAAAAGCCTCAATAATTATGAAATAAATTTCCAAAAGTGACACTCACCTGGGCTACTACAGTTACCTGCTAACTGGTCTCTTTATTCCACTCTTGTTCCTGATGCTGTTCCCAACTATCTCTTAAAGGGAATGTTGTATCACTGGTGATTTTTGCATCACATTATCATGATCCCACATGATCTGACTCCTGCCTACTTTTGGGACCTGATTTTATTCCCTCCTTCCGACATGCCCCAGCCACAGAATAGATCCTAACATTAATGTCTAAAATACTAATGTAGCCTGGACAGGTGTGGCTCAGTGGTTGAGCATTAACCTAGGGTCCAGGGGATAGTGGTTTGATTCCTGGTCAGGGCACATGCCCAGGGTTGTGGGCTCAATCCCCAGTCGGGGCGTGCAGGAGGCAGCCGATCAATGACGACTCTCTCATCATTGATATTTCAACTCTCTCTCTCCCTCTCCCTTCCTCTCTTTGAAATCAATAAAGACACATTAAAAAATAAATTTTAAATACTAATATATACATTTAATAAAATCTAAGCATTGTTTCATTGGCACCGCATCATGAGTTCTGTTTTTCATTTGTTCTGGGGAATTTGGTGATGTTTATTTGTGGTTCTGCTTTATCATGATCTTACTTGAATCTTTTTTCTTCATCATTAATATCTACTACATTAGAAGTCCTGTCACCTCTACCTCCAAAATATATCCTGAATCTATTCACTTCTTTCCATCCCTCCTGCTAGCACTCCAGTCCAAACACCATCATCTTTTATCTGGAGCAATGGAAGATGGAGAGCCACCTGCTTCCTTGCTTCCATTCTTGCTCCACCCCAGTACATTCTGCACCCTACAGCCATAGAAAACTTATTATAACACAAATTAGATTATGTCACTCTCCTTCAAATGGCTTCCCATTATAACAGAATAAAATCTGAAATTCTTTTTAAAAAAATTTTTTTTTACTTTACCTGAGGACATTTTTTCCATTGCTTTTCAGAGAGAGTGGAAGGGAGAGAGAGAAACATCAATGTGAGACAGACACACTGACTGGCTGCCTCCCACATGCCCCGACTTGGGGGGGCCTGCAACCGAGATATGTACATGCCCTTGGCTATATATAATCAAACCCAGGACCCTTCAGTCCTCAGGCTGGCACTCTAACCACTGAGCCAAACCGGCTAGGGCTAAAATCAGAAATTCCTTATATCTGAAATAACTTGTTTCTAGCTTACCTCTTCAAGTTCATCTCTCTTGTGCACAATAAAGAGCCACATTCTGACAGTTTTAGAATAAGCCAAAGTTGTTACTGCCTTGCGGACCCTGCATTCAAGCAGGCATCTCTTTCTCTGGACTACTGTAACCTTAGTTCTTTGCAGATTGATTATTTCTCAACATTCAGGGTTCAACGCAAAGCCCACAATTCAGAGAGGCCTTCCCTGACTATGCTGGCCAAAGCAGGGCTCCCAACCACTCTATCAAGCACATCACCCTGTTCTATCTTCTTCACAACACTTATCACTACCTGAAATCTTATTTTTTAAATGTATTTATTTACTGTCTTGTTTAATCTCCCCCAACATGGAGGACCTTGTCCATCCTGTTCACTGTTACACTCTATGCCAAAACAGTTCCCAGAACATTGTACATGAAAATAATTACATGTTCAATGAATGACTTCTCATGGCCTTGGCTCAAATTTTCTGGTCTCTGAACAAATGCTCAAGTTTAATAACCCGAGTGTTTTATATATTTGTTTGGTTATACCATGCTTCCTAAACAACACATATGATCAAAAAGCATTTTATTAACTTCTAAGTTCATATCTCCTCTTCCTCGCTTTAAAATATTATGGCAAAGATGGTTAAGTATTCTGTAAACATCATATAGATACAAACTGGGGGTAAAAGAAAAGGAACTGTTTGTTCTATGCCCCAAATTAAGAGAAGTCATTTCTAAATCCTAAGCTAGGGATATCTGTTCATGCCACTTGACCTTCAAGAAGTGGAAAATACCTACTTTATAGGTAGAACTGTTGGGAATTAAGTTTTAAAAAGTAATTTCTTCTTATTAATATTGTGGTTTCCTATGATATAAAGATTAAAGGGAGGCTAAATCTACATCTATGTTAAAAGCACTTAGTTGCTGATAAAGGATTCTATACAGACATTGTCTTTAGAGTAGTCCATTCATTCAGCTTATATAGTACACTACCTAAAATACAAGTAATGCTTATGTATGCTTACTAAATGAATGGAATACCCTAAAAACAATGGAGGGAAGTCAAACGACAATTCTAATATAATGCCACAACCAACGTATGCAGAGTGACATGTTAGAAGAGGGCAAGGTTACAACTAAAGTGGAGGGGGTCAGGAAAAGTGTCCGAGTGGAGCTGAGATACCTGGGATGAGTCTTGAAATAAACAGATAAGAGGAGGAGAGGAAGGGAGCTCCAGACAAAGAAAATCTGAAATGTAAAGGCACACTGGCTTGAGCAAGTAAGCACCATATCAGAACCACAAGAGCAAATGTGAAGATGGAAAAAGAGATGAGGCTGAAAATGTGGGCAAGATGCAGATAACAGAGTACTCTGTATACTGCACTAAAAGATTCAGATTTTGTCCTATAATATACCCATACAGACCCCTACGTAAAAATCTAAACAACAAAAAATTCTTAACAAAAAGGACACTCTGGGACACCTGGATGACCACCTTTTAATCCATTACTGTCACAATTTTCAGTTTCCGTTTGTGTTTAGGAGTGCACTGGTAAACATGTGGTACCATTTGTCATCGGCACAGGCTAATGAGAAGCAATGGGGACTATTTTATGTAAATGATGTTTGTCAAGTGAAGGTCAAATGAAATCACGACACACTGAAAAAAGGAAGGCTTTACAGTGGTTTAAATAAAGAAAACAGGTGAGGGCAGTGAGTGAGCTCTCAACACAAAGACAGTATGGACAGGCCTTTCTATAAGGAAGTTACAACACAGAGGACCGAGAACATTCGCTTTTAGAGTATGGTAGGCCTGGCAACAGTCTCATCGGTAACAATGTATAAGTATTCATTTGAATTTGTTTTATAGTTTTGCTTCATTTAACTTATAACTATTTATTCATAAGTTATAGTTGCACAAAAGATGCAACATAAGGAATTTATATATAGTTTTACACTTGCATAGATTTAACATACTGAAAATATTTTCATTTAACAATAGAGAATCCTGGGTATTTACTTGGGTTTGAGGAATTCTGCTCCGGGTGATTAGGAGCCACTTAAAGATTTTAATAGAGAAATGGCAGGTTTGTGCTTTAGAAAACTCACTCTGGCAGCAGTGAAGAGGGGTGGAACTGAAAGTATTTAAGGCAGAAGGGAGGCTGTTCATAATATAATGTGATAAAATGGTGAGATTCTAAATTACTCAGGGGGTATGAGGAGATGAGCAAGAGTTAGAATCAAACGGACTTGGTTGTGGGTGAAGAAAAAGATGGCATCTAGGATGACTGTCCCTTGGGTGACTTGGTGGTGAGGTAAATACCACAAGATGACAAACAAGTGGCAGTGAAGGGGAAGGAGAGAGAAAAGAGAGATGATGGATTCAGTTCGGCAATGATTTGAATTTCATTTCAGCCAAAGAAAATCCAGTTATCTTTTCCGAGTCCCAGTTTTCTCAGTGACAGCTGCATTCATGAATTACCAAATTAACTATTATAGCACTGTCTAAAAATACACAAAGCACTCCACAGTATGCTGTAAATAAGTTATGAAAAATCAGCAAAAGCCCAGTCCCTAAAGGAAATTCAGCAGCGTTAAAAAGAGATGTGGCAAATTTTTACTAAACACTTTGCGACCCAAAGCACCCACACAGTACTGTACTTTTTGCTTTGTCAGTCAGATGCCATCTCCCTTGCCTATGTGCTGAACTGGAAGCAGCAAGACCAAGCCCACGTGGGAGAGGCAAAGACAGACTCAAGGGACGAGCAGAGCAACGGGGCACAGCCGGGGCGTGAGGACTGGCAATGCAGTGCAGTGGGAACTTTCACTCCGCAGGCAGGGCTGGACATTTTACTTTACTTTTATTTAGAGGAATCAACGCGGAATATCTTAGGCAGTCGAATAAGAATGTAAACATTTCACATTTTATTCCCATTACGGAGGGGAAAAGAGGAGGCGAGAGGAAGGGAAACGCAGCAATTATCGCAAAACCACCAGCCTGTGTCCTCGCAGACCGCAGAAGGGCGGGCCTCTGGGAAACCAATGCACCCCAGTCTGGTGGCAATGCCCAGCATCTTCCACCGCTAACTCACAACTCACGAGCACAGGGTTTACGGCCCCCGAATGCTTAAACGTGAACATCCACATCGTCCAGCGTGGTACTGACGGGAAAGCCGCGGGGCGTACCTTCAGCACAGGGCGCTGCTTTGGGGGTGTCACACTCGACACCGCGCCTCTCTCGGCGCCCAGTCAGCGTCTCCCACAGCGAAAGGCAGGGGCTGAGAGGCGCGGGGGACACGGAGGCTGCAGCTAAGCGCTCCCAGGTCCTCCCCGGGGCCCCCAGCGTTGTCGCCCGCGCAGCCTGCAGACCGGAAAGGCGCCGGAGCCCCACGGCGCAGCCTCCGCCCGTCAGAGGG